CGAAGCACTTTCTAAAACGTCTGTAAATAAATAACAAATTATTGCTTAGAACGCTAATATTTTTGTAAATAGAAAGTATGCATTGGAGGTACATATTTCTGGAAACAAAAAATATTGATGTATGTATGTCTTTTGTCGATGATGTATGATGATGTATGTATGGCAATTCATTCGAGTAAATATTCGAGAGGAGTGTGCAGATTTAATATAAAGAGAGATACTTTTAGAGATCTCCTATGTTCTGGTGGAAATCGATTCTATGTAGGAGGTGACTATAATGTCAAACATGTGGATTGGGGTTCTACAATAATCCCAACCAGGTGTAGAGAATTAAGAAAAGCTATTCTGAAACTGGGATACGGCTATCATTCTACTGGTAATTCAACTTATTGGCCATCAGATATACACAAAAACCTCGAATCTTATTGACTTTTTATATTCAAATATTAAATTTTCGGTATAATGCATAGAATTGCCCCAACAATGAATCTATAAGTTATTTATTTTCATATTTTCATAAAATATTTAAATATATTTTTTTTCAGATCTATACCAATTAGCAATTCATCTTGCTTATTTTCACCAAAATTATTTCATCAAAAAAAAAAATTTGAAAGTATAAATTTTTAATTTAAATATAACGATGCGTCGTTTTGTCAGTATAAATGTATGTAAATAAAAATGATTTTCATAAATCAAATTTTTCATCATCTTTTTAATTATAAAGTGCATTGTGAACATCAAAAATGCATAATTCCTTGCATAATTTTCGTTTATCTTTGCATCCTTTTTTGAAAGTGTAAAAAGTTTTAAAGAGTTCCTGTGTTTTTTTCTTTTTTCGTTTATCCTTCTTCCTTGTTCTTTCTATTTTTTATTTCGCTTACTAATAAATAAGGAAGAAAATTTTTTGTTAATAAAACTGAATTTCGCTCTTTTTTTGTAAAGTTTTCTCTTTTTTTCTATTTATTTAGTTTAATTTATATTAATTTTTTAGCTTCTATGTGTGCTCACGCACTCACTACTCTTTTTAATCTTTTATTTTATTATTAACTTAATTTTTTTTAATGCTTTATATACAAAGTGTATACGAATGATGAATTTTAATGCAAGTAGATATTATTAAATAACCTATAGTGGTTTGTATATGTGTATGTATGATAATGCAATATTATCCTTTTAACACTTTATAATATTTTTATAAGTAATATGGGACTAGAATATTGTAAATGGTTTACCACAAATCACTTGCATAATAATGAGTTTATTGTTTTGTGAAATAAAGGATGATTGGTTGAAGTGGCAAAAGCGCATCTCAACTGTAGTCGACATTCTAATTAGTACTGTAATATTTTGTTATCGTATTTAATACTGCAGAAATTTTCTAATATCAATGAGAGAATATTTGAATAATCTCATTCAGAGAGTATTTCACTTCGAAAATATTTGTTGAAAATTTGACATTTTTCTGAAATTGTTAAAATTTTTTAATTTATTCGAGAAAAAAATTCCCTTTTATTCGGAATCGAAAATTTATTTCCGCTAGTATATATTTCGTTCGCTATTAATGTTTTCCGATATTTATTTCCGATATCATTGAATCGAAATTCTTTTGGTTCCTAGTTTCTTTGCACGGCTTACCTGATGTAAAGGTTCCTTTCGCCTTGTTATAACTGGTCTCCTCGTTATCCTATGAAAAAAATCGTTACAATCATTGCATTTAATTTTATATACACCGCATTACGCATGTATTTTCAATTTATCTGAACTTAACAATGAGCTCCTTAGTTAATATTTATTGGTTATTTCAGATATCCGAATATTATGTTTTTTTAATCTGCTTACTTATCAAATTCGAAGATAAGCCAAAGATGCCCATGTTGTTCCTTGATATTCTGTTCAATTTTTCGTTTTTATTGCTAGTGAATTTATTATTAAGTGACTTCAATCAAATAACTATTCACGACTGTTGTTTCTGGTAGTTTTCTTCTGCATTTAAATCATGTGTTTTCATCGGTGTAATTAGCATTCTGTGGATCATAGAGTTAAACGCTGCCATCTTCTGCTTTATTAAATGGTGCGAATCTTTGGAATGCATTTTGTGTAGTTGTTTTCTTCCTGAAGAAAATTTTAATCCTATTTTGTCCGATTTTCTTTTCGCGAGTGTTTTATTTGTCTCTTTTTTTACTACTTATACTAACATTTGGTATTTATATTAGTGCATCGATCATGCATTCTTAAACTGACACATTTTTTATGAATTTGTTCTCTACAATGGCAGCACTCCTTTTATTATAAATTAATTTCGAAATTCAAATAAAACATTAATTTTTATTTTCAAATTTAAAAACTGGCCAAGAATATTCAATTATAAATTATTATTTTTTTTTTATTTCAACATAATAACAAATTGAATAACCTTTAAATAAATTTTTCCAACTAATATTTTTTAATATACTTTTTCTTTTTAATTTTACAAATCCATTTCAAAATGCCTGATTACGAAAGCAATTATAAAATTAAGGATTATTCAACTATTATAGAACAACGCATTTTTATTTTTTCTTTTTTTTTTGTATTTTATAATTGGTTTCCACCGTATTTGGTTTATACTGTATTTCATTTTCGACTCTATTTATTTCAAATAAAGTTCATTCTTTTTCAATAATTATACAAATTCTTTCTACCTTGAAAGTATACATACATTTTTTAATCTATATATAAATATGTATACTATATTGTAAGTAAACAAGTGTTCTTCCATTTAATTTACTTCTATGATAAAAAACTATTCATGTATAACAAGAATCAATTAAAAGATTTTAGACAAATGTTTTTTTATTAGTATATATGCGATCTGAGAAAATTTATGCGTATTGCACTTAAAAAAAGATTTTCAATGAAATTACCTAATATAAAAGGGAATGTGTTGTAAGGTCCAAAAACATGTTTTTAATAATAATCGAGAATTGATTTCTACTCTTCAGCTGACTCATCAAATATTTTAAGGATGCCAATATAATATCAAATTAAAATATCAATTTTTTTTATAAATTGAAAATGTTACCAAAATTTTACAATAATCGCAGCCTAAACTGGCTATTTAACATAAAAAAATATAGAGGGAGGCAAAAATTTATCACAAATTATTCACTCGCTTATGTTCTTCGAATCGAACCAAAATTGAATGTCAGATTTCGTATAACGAAATGTCACATTTAATTTCTTCACTTTTATACAGATTTTTAACACTCTTAATCCACGAGTATACTTATAATAATTCATTGTATACTATGCACATACAAAAGTTTTAACATAGTCGTTTTGACCGAAAAAAGAATCAGACTTTTCTTATTGATTCAATTTGGTGCTAAAAACTATGACTCTGGAATATTTAATTAGTTTTTATTTTGTATTTTATTCTATGTTGGAAGGTGACTAAAATCAATGCCGGTCATATACTTCATATACATATACAAATTTATATTTACCTAAAATATTATATGTATATATGCACATGTTCACAATTCAATATTATTAACGAATTTATTCACATTCAAATCAAAATACCAATACAGCATACTTAGATATAATTGTAGATCTATGTTAAGGTAAAGGCAAATATCTAAAGAAGAAGATATCAAAATGAATTTATTTTTTTAATTTTTTAAATCAAATTATCGATGCAATTCATGTACAACATTGAATTTAATAAAACAAAAAGAGTAAAAAATGTTTGAATGTAATATGAGTGCAGAGAATTCTTTTGACACTGACAGAAAATATATGAAAACTACGTTTATATAAAAAAAAGTCTGTAAAATAGCTTAGCTCATGTATTGACAATAAGCTTAATCGAAAGCAAATAAAGTTATTCTGATTTCCTAAACACGCTGTAATGGCAGAAGAACATGACTTCAAAAATGCTATAATACTTTTTTAATACAAAAGTTAAATCAGCGTATGAACCTTATAGCCCCTGACTTGTATAGTAATATAATGTTACTGGAGTTTTGAAGTCATGAAGAGTGTCATTTAGAATCACTTCAATTTTAATATAAAAAAAAGCGATTTTTTCAGTGTAAAACTACAATACATTCAATGCATTTTGTATAACACAAATTGGAATCTCTTTTTTTGGAAAGCGCTTATAAATCCTCGTTTTATCTATAAAAGTAATATTAGCACCCGCATATTAATTGTATTTTGATTCCTATATTAATACACAAATAATATTGAAAAAGATTACTTTTAATAGAGTTATATGATGTGAGTTTAACAAAAAAAAAATAACAATACCAATTAAATTTTATTATAAAGCAATTGACGTTGAAACCCTTTTTTACAGCTTGTGACGCATTCAGTTGTATTTACTAAGCCAAACGAGACTATAAAGATTGTCCAAATTTGCATAACTTTATTACATATATGTCAAATTTTTATTTTCAAATTACATAACTTAAGATGTCAATACTTTCAACGTCAATATCTCGAATAAGTAATAATAATGACACATTAACTGCGAAACAGAAAACCATAGTTACTTATTCTTAATTGCAAAAATTAACGAAAATTTAGAAATTGAAATTTTTGGAAAATTTTCCATGTACCAAGGTACATTCTTGGCATCTGTGAAGGAAAATATATTGGAAAATAAAAATTTCAATTAAAATGATCATTACTAGAATAGTGTTCCGTGATTTTTACTAGTGGAAACATGTGTTATTATAAACAAAAATGAAGTGATTAGAGTTTTGGAACATGGTTTCATTTTCATTCGCATATGTATGTGGTTGATAATGACTACCCACAAGAAGTTCTTAACGTAAATAAAATATTCATTTTATTCACCTGGTTATTTTTATTTTACATATTATTTTAGTTGTGTCAAAAAAAAGAATATAACAACAAAAAAAAAACGAAGTGAGTATTTTTTATTTTTAAATTGAAAAATGAATTAATTTTAATTGAAAATTTTTCATTTTTAGTCGAAAGCGAAATTTCTGATCGTGAATACAAAAATAAAATAAGAACTATGCAAAAAAAAAATAAAATAGTAAAATAACTTTAATTGACAGTTAAATACAATTAAAATTGAATAACACAACCTCTAAAAAAATAAAACGAGGGAAAAAAACCCAGAGGAATAACAGGAAAATAAAACTGTGTGTTTGTGTTATTATTTTAGCTGTTCTTGTTATTTAATCCCGTTTTTTTTTACATTATCCTTATATCCTTTTACCTATAATAATATTTTATAATATTTTTTATTTTTGAAAATAAGGCAATAAAGTAACTTTTAATTTTTTAATTTAAATTTATAAAAAAAATAAAATAAAATATAAGTAAAAATAACGGTAAAAAAAGTATACAACATTTACCACGCACAGAACGTTCTGAACACGAAAAGTGGAAACACAAATAACCAAAAAATTAAAAGTGGCATCGATTATATTGAAATTTATTTCATTTTATTATAAAATTAGTGTAAAATGTTAACCACAAAATTTCAAACACTTTACATTGGATTGGTATTTTTTGTGGTAAGAATGTAAAAAAATAACAATTTTATTTTTTACTTTTATTTTGTTTACTTAACTTAAAACACTCACTACAAAAAAAAACAGAAAAAGCAGGGATTTTTTCGGAAAATCGTATACTATAACTAATTTTAAAAACATTAAGGCGAAGAAGTTATTGTTGATTTTTGTAAAAAATTAAAATTTATAATTACAATTCTTAGTAACTTTTTACAATAACAATAAAAGTTACAGTTGAGAGTGTGGACGCACTTCCAAAAAGTACTTTTTAATTTTAAAATTACAATTTCATAATTTATTTCAAGGTAGTAATGACATTTCATAAGACAGTCCAAGCACAACATTATGCCAAAAAAAAATCCAATTTAGCATACGCCATACACAAACATACTTGAAAAAGTAAGAGCCAAAAATTGCTTTTATTTATCAATTAAAAATTATAATTTTGTGCACTTTGAAAATTTACGTTCTAAAGATGACCTTGCTAATTTAACAAGAATTTTATTTAACATTTACCATTAAATATTTTTCTTTTAAAATTTTTATTAAATTTGATTTACATATAATAAATTTCAAGTTCAAATTGATAATTCACAATATAATGTTTTTATAAAATATGTTTAGCTTCTACTAAAATTATCAATTTCAAATTCATTGCCAACAACATCTGAAACAAAAACAAGAACAACAACGAAAGAATCATCATCATCACCAACTACATCATCAGAAGAATCAAATATTATTAGCTTTTTAAATCAACCAGGTCATGGTAAAACTCATTTAAGTACAAATGATAATAAAAATCAAGATGAAAATGATGAAGATGATAATTTATTTATAAAACCATTAGATGATATTCTTGGTTTAAATTTCGATTTATTTGATACATGGGCTAAAAATTCTAATAATAATTCAAAAGGATCATCATCATCACCATCAGATAATAATAATAATACAGATTCATTTAATATATCAAGTACAACCACTTTTATACCAACAGATAATAATAACAATAATAGTTATAATAATAATCATAATAATAATGAAAATACAAGTACAGAATATAGTTTATTTCCTCGTCGTCCTTTACAACGTTTTCATAATACATTACATAGAATATTTTCAAGTATTTCAAATCGTATTTCATCAAATGGAATTGAACAGAGAGATTATGATGACAGAATACTGCAACATCAACGGGAGCAGTATAAGAAACAGCAAGAACAGAAACTACAAAAACATCGACAACATTTTAATCAAACAAACAATAACAGCAACAGTTCAGAAAAAATAAATACAACTAATATTTTTGAGATAGTAGATGACAAAAATAGTGCAAATAATTTAAGTGACAATAATAATGGCAATAGTAAAGAAAAATCTCAATTTGAAAATGTAGTAAAATCTACTTCATCATTAAATTTCAGCGGAAAAAATCATAATTATAGATCATTACGTTTAATTGATGATAGTACATCAAAAGAATCATCAACAGCAACAACAACAACATTAAGTAATAATTTATTTATGAGATCATCATCAAACAGTCAAACAAATTATGATCAAAATACAATAATAGATCCAAATCATATTATTGTATCGATGAAAAATATAACTATTGATGCTAATAATTTATATACAAGTGAATCAACATTATCCGATGATGATTTATTTAATTTAGATGAAAATAATGATAATATGAATAATATACATAAAAATAATAATAATAGTAATAATTTATTTATAACAACGACAGGATTTAGAAATAAAACAAGAGCATTTATAACATTCATTTTTACACCATTATCAAATCTATGGTCGATTGCACAACGAAATTTACCAATATGGCCATTAAATGTTATAAGAAATAATAATGATAATAATAATATGATGGAAGATGAGACATTTACAATAACTTCAAATCAAAATAATATTGAAGATAAGGATCCAAGCAATAAAAATGGTAAGAATTTCAATCGCTTAACCATACACACACTTAACATACACACGAGAATAAAATAAGAAATATAAAATATGACTTTTTACACTATAATACAAGTATGTGGCGCTTATCAAAATGCATATGTGCACATTAAAATTTTAGGTACGTTATATAAAATAAATTCAATTTTAAATTCCATTCCAAATATGTATGTGCGCTATATGTATAGCTTAAACTGTAATAGTCAATGTCTTACCTTTTATCTTAAACTCTATTGCGTTAGAAAAATATATATGTATGTACATATGTGTGCAGTTGACTGCCTTTTCTAATAGATTTTCTTTCTAAAGATGATTCTAAAGATGATATTGGTTAATCGTATTAAGACGATATAATTTTCAAGACGCTACTCTTTTCTCTCAAGAACCTTGCCCGTCTGAAAGCGTTGAACATATTTTTTTTTTTGATGTTACTTCATTCCATTGCATAGTTTTGAGAGTCATAAAATGACATTTTAAAAAACCTCTGTACTAATTTTGGCTTTTTCCTTTCCTAATGTTATAATTATAGGATTTAGTTAACTGATTTAAACTCAAGTTCATTGGTTGTGCGGCGATCTAATATTTTTATATTTTTATATAAAATTGACATAAATTTTACAGGAAATATTCCGTTTATTGTCAGAGCACATGTATGAAGTTTTCTCTGTCGATTTTTAAACGCTACAAATTGTTTCATTGAATTTTCATTGAATCTCCCCAGTGACTGAAAATATTTTAAATTTCAACATCTTATAATACATTTCGAAATTATTTCGAAATTCTTATATTTTATATCTTAAGCTGCAATTCTTTTTAACATTTTTAGAAGAAACAAATCTACGTTATTTTCTTGTGAAAACATTTTATGCTTAAGGTGAGAACAAAACTGGTATGAAATAAGTAAAATTTACAATTTGTTTTTTTTCTCTCTCTCTCTCTCTCTCTCTTTCTTCCTCTCTTTCCCACCTTCTCTTAGGTTATGTTGTTTTGATAAAAGGATACGAAAAATGTTACAATTTTTAAAATTAAATAATCAATACGTGATCCAATTGTATTTTTTTATCGAAAATAAATAATAAAAACACAAACACAAATAAAAAAAATAAAAAGAGATTTAATTTAAAAAAATATTTTTAATAAAACCAAATAACATAGATGAGAAATTTCAATTAAAGAAATCTTTTAATTCAAATTCAAAATTAAAAACAATAAAAAAAGAGAACAAAATCAAAGTGGAAAAGGGACGACTACTTATATGTTTATTATGTAGGTCAGATAAAAAGAAAAAATAAATTTATTTTTAATTCAATAATGAAAACCAAACACTTTCCACATACACTCACACAATATCTTCCGCCTTGTCCTGCGATTATCATTTTCTTAACACTTGCTTTAATTTTTTTTTTTTATTTTTGTTTTTCAAAAATTTTTATTGAATATCGTGACATCTGTCCCAATTTTCACTATCCTTAATACTCAATACATACAAAGAATCTTATTTAAAATTAATATCATAAAATTAATATCGAAAAGTGTCGTCCTTCAACCATTTTGCGGATTAACACATATCAGATTGAGATTGTTTTTTTTTTTGAATTGAATTTCATTTAATACTGTGGGTGTTCATATTAGTCTAGATCTACTTATAAATTCAAAATTTTTTTTGGTTTTGATAATTTTTTCAAAAATTTTTAATTCAAATATTTTAAATGTAAAATTAAAATTTGTTTACACAAATTTAAATTGAAAAATTTAAAAGCAGCATTTTCACTACGGTAGATGGTACTTGAAGTAGTAGTTTAATTTGATATGTGTGGTATAAAATATCCAAATAGGTATATTGACAAACAATCGAAAATCGAATGGAGTGACGTTTATATATATTTTTAATTTGACATGCTAATAAATTTTTTTTCAATTAATCTACATTTTTATATTTTAGATACCGGCGTTGAAACAACAAATAACCGAAATAACAGCACTCTATTGCAAATAGATCTTTTTAAAAATAATCATTTACAAAATATATCACAGACATTTCTTAATAATTTTCGTCCTGGTGGTAGTATACCATCTGTATTATCAAGAATAAGACAGAGTGTATCGTTACCATTTTATCAAAATCCAAATAATTCAATTAAAAATGTTTACCGACGAATTAATGAAAGAATGCCATTTCGAAAAGAATTTCGCAAATATGTAACACCAGCAGATGATTTAATTGTCAATGAAAGTTTTGAATCAACTACTTCAACTTCATTAGGTAATCAAAATCATCGAATAAAAGATTTAATGCAAAAACAGCGGTTGATTGATCAAAGTTCAAAAGAAGAACAAAACGGTTTAGAGAATAAAACTAACAAAACTCAAAATATGAATTATAATGGTCACCGTAACAGGAATAATGATGATGATGACGATGATGATGATGATGATAGAAATATTGTTATACTTAATTCAAAAGAAGATGATGATGAAATTCAACATAAGCCACCGGTATCAGCATCACCACGTGTTTATTCAGAAAATTTAGGAATTTATATTTTAGAAATATTTGGTACAATTATTGGTTTAACTTGGGGTGCTCTAAGTACAATACAGAATTTATTTACAAAAAGTAGTTGATTAAAAAAATTATTAAGATATTTTTTAAATAAACATATGCAATTATTATTAAAAGTTTTCAATTTCAATATCTAAGTATTTGAAACTAATTAATTGGTTAAACAAGAATTATTAAATTATTTGGTTAATAATCTCTCTAGTCTAAAACAGGACAAATACCAAGTTTTATTTGCAAATGGTGCTAAATTAATTTTAAAGAAATTGATGTAATAAGCTAATTTAATTAGAAAATCATTTTTTTTTACTTCCTCAAAAAGATAAGATAGCCAAATGTCTTGAATTACGGGAGCTGCGAATATGTAAGACTTGTAGGCCGAGTTCTGATTCTAGCCCACATTTTGAGAAATCAGACTACAATTCCAATGTATTTGTGGAGTATAGATATCCTCGCTTATTTATACCTGTTTCCGTGGTGTTGCCATTATTGTTTCAGGTGTGTTAAAAGAACAAACTAGAAAATTTATTTTTGGTCATTTATCAAACCATCTGATATCTTTTGCTTTTAATTTTGCAAGGAGATTGTGGTATAAACTTGGTATTAACTTAATATATTGTTATACTTAATTTATAAAATCTGCATAGTTTTTATTATTCCCGTTACTAGATAAATATTAAATTTAATTCAAATCTAACTGATTTTTGTATTCGTCATGGATATCCTATGTTATAATAGATTTTAAACTAAAATTTCTTGCAATGGCAGCCCTTAATTAAGATTCAAGCTGTCAAATTCTTAAAATGACATAACCTTAAAATAAGCAAGCAGTGTTTGTTTGTTGTGGATTTTAATGGAGATTTTTTTAAGATTTGATTTAGTTTAAAATAGGCCAACATTCAAGTTAATAATGAATTTGCCTCCGGTAACAAGTCGTGCATTTATAGCGATGCAAAATCTAAATATATCTGAGTTGGCTGCTATAAACGATGAAAGAGAAATTAGACCATTTTTACCATCACTTGTTCGAATGAGCCTCCTCTCACCGCTCGACACAACACAATCATCAATGGAATCGCGTAAACAAATTCTGGCTTTATTAGTTGGAATAGAAGTTGTTAATAATATCGTAGCACTTTTACAAGTTAATTATCACGAATTAGAAGTTGATGTTAAAAAGGAGCAGCAATTAAGACAGAAAATTGGTACTGGTCAACCGCAAGATAGTGCACAGTTTCATGGTTTGCAAAACGGAATTGCACTAGGATTTGAACGAGCAGATGTAACAAGAAAAGTTCGTGTCGTCTTATCCGAATTATTTTATATTCAAACTTTAGTTAATGAAATGAACGCTTTGAATGGAAACAATTTGAACAGTGGAACTGGTAGTTCACAATCTCGTCAAAATGAAAACTTGATAAAACAGTCAGAATTGTTTGATAATGAAATATATTTAGAAGAAATAACTGATATAATTTGTATAGCCTTAGCTGAATTGCCGTCATTATTGAATGTGCAGGAATTAGTAGAAACATTACTTTATGTTAATAATGGACCATCAATTATATGTTGGGTAGTTGCTAATGTTCCCGATAGCTATAAAGATGTTGTTTATTCTTTGGTATCAACCGCTGATGAAGATACACCTGACGGAAAATTAAAATTATCCGTATTGTATGCTCTTAGCGAAATTAATCCCGGGCAAGCATTAGCTACAAGATCATTGTGTGTAGATCTGATGAAAATGCCCTCATTAATGATAAAATTAAGTTTAAAAGATTCACAAGATTTGGTAATTTTACTACATCTCTAATATAAACATTTTTTAATGAATTATTTTTATTCTAGATTGCTTTTACTTCTGGTCTGCTATTAGGTAATGATCAAAATGTGCGTTCATGGTTTGCACTTTTTATACGAACCAACCAAAAACGTAAAGGGGATGCACTTCAACAATTTCGTGAAGAATTACTTAAACAATTGCAAAGTCTTGTACAACAATCCCATAACTCTAAAATTCCCGAACAATCGACAGTACAAGCTGTAGCAATATTAAGACTTTATTGTGCACTAAAAGGAATAGCGGGAATCAAGTAAGTTTTTGTCAATTTTTTTTCAATTTTCATTGTTATAAAAAGTTTACAAAAATTTAAAAAATTACTTAAGATAATTTGTAATTTGTACAATAACATTTAAATTAAAAATTTAGAATTTATTAGAAATTTTTGTTGCCATTTTTCTTATCGTCGTCACTGATATAAGAGGAATCTTCTTCTTTTGTTGTAGTCATGGGAAAATCAAACATAACTTTTTTACGTGGTGTAGGAATTGGCATTTTAGACGCAGATTCAAGAGTTACAGATGTTTTATTCAATTTTTGCATAGGTGAGCTTAGGATTTTTTCCAATTTTGATTTGAATTCGTCTCTATTTTGCATAGAGCTTGAAGTTTCTTGCTTTTCAATTTTTTCTGCATTATTGGAAATTGATTTTGGTGATGACGAGCTCTCAGTTTCCGATTCACTAGTAACTACATTCAATTTACCAGAAGGAGTATTCTCCGAAATTGCTAAGTTCGATTGTTTTTTCGATTTTGTTATTTTTACCTTTAACGTTTTTTCTTGGTTGGCAGTTTTTGACTGAACCATTTTATCAACAATTGATTTTAAATGATTTCTTGTTGCGGTAAATTTTGGAAATAGTCGTTTTTGAGTTTTTCTAATATTTGCAAGATTTTTATCAATTTGAACCATTGATGATGTTGCTATTGATTTTGCGTTAGGGGAAACACCAATAGATCTTAGACGAGTTTCCTGCATTTTTCTTACAATTTTGGGAATATTATGTGTAGGTTGTTTTAAATTTAGTGCAGGTACAACTATAGTTGGGCTTTCCTTCAATTTTGCTGGTTCAGTTTTCAATGAACTTTCGCTTCCTACTCTAGTAGTAACGTTATTATTTTTTGATGGTAATTTTAAAGCGTCAACGCTTCTTGTTCTATATACGCGATTCGTTTTATCATCTATTCCTTTATCGTCGTACGAAGTTGAATCGGAACCTTCTGTTTCACTACCATCTGATGTAGATTCAGAAGAACGACTTGATACACTTGAAATCGTGTCTTCTTCTTTGGAAATAAATTTTGTTTTGGCGATTATTGGTTTTTGAACTTTTTGTCCTACCTTAACTATTTCTGGCTGGCTTTTTGAAGTACTGGGTTCATTTTTTGCAATACTTCTTTCTGTTTCACTCCTGTTAGTTAATCGTTGAGCAATTTCTTTACTTTTATTAATGATATCCTTTAAATCAGTCGCAGGGTCTTTTTTTTCTATAGTACTTACTTTATCTACATTAGCTTTTAAAGAATTTAGTTTGTCTAAGTAAGTCTGATCGAATTTCTCTGCTAACTGATGTAATTGTCTTTTATTTTCGTTTTGAATTTTTTCCATTGCATCATTTAAGAAAGTTTTTAATTCATCTAAATTAATCTCTGGATTTAATGAAGTTTGCGAAGACGACATTTTATCTGAAAATTTGTTTAAAATTTCTAAGTTATGCTGCTGTTTTTCTTCAATAGCTTCAGTAACACTTTGTAATTTATTCTCAAATTCCAATAATGTAGCTTCCCTAAAGAATATTGAAAGAAAAATTCGATTTCAAATTTAACTGAATTCTTAAACTACTTACCGAAGTTTCAAATCGTCATCTCTGAACTTTTCAATTTGATTGATTTTTTCATTAATTTTTTTGAATATTTCCAAAATTTGATTCTTTTCCATGGTATCAATGTCATCTTTTTCTTTATCTTCAACCAAATTACTTTGGATCCCAATATTTTTAACTGATATTACCTCATTCTGGGTAGCAACTGTTATTTTAGTAGCAATTTTCTCTTTATCCTCTGCGGCTGGTGATGATTGTACAATTCTTGGTGTTCCTTTGATTTCTTCGATTTGCTTAGTGATTTCAAATGTTTGATTTCGAATTATTTTTTCAGCATCATTCAAACGTTCTTTTAAATGTTTTATTTCCAATTCTAATTTAATAGTGCTAATCAATTGTTTATCGTTTTGTTTTTCTGCTCGTTTTTCCGTAGAATTTGCACTGGAACGTTGTAGCTCATTAGAATGTTTTCTCAAAATATGAACGTTAAGCATTTCGTTACTGACAAAATTTTTAGTGCACATAGAACATGGAAATATGACTTCACTTATATTTCTTAATTTTTGAAGTTCTTTATGTAACTGTAGAACGTCATCTGCATGTTCTTGTTCCAACTTTCTGAAACGCATATTCTCTGATTGTAAATCTCTTACTGTACTTCTCATCGATGTAACAGTTTCATCAAGAAAACGCTTACAAAAAATTAAATATTGTATTGCTAATTGTGATAATAAAAAATATTTAGCTACACCACTCTCAAGCACATTACTGTTTAATAGTGGACATAAAGGTACTTCAGCCAAATGAATTATTACGCTATCTAGTTTTTCAATATTTTGGTTTTGGAGAATTTTTTCAACGTCTATTCCACCTATTTGCCTCCAATCTATGTTTCCATCATTATATTGATGAAATTTAAAGCCCGAGTCTCTAGCAATTTTAGGGTAATCAAAATTCCAATCATCATCTGACATTTCTTCTTTATTTCTAGTTTTAATTTATAAGAAATTTTACTGTTAATATTGCAATATTTGTAATGAACTTCTTTTACCATACGAAATTTAAAACGTCAACAAGAAATTTTTGTGTTGTGCATTGAATTTTTGTTTCCACGGAAACGAAAATTTGATTAATGCAGAAAAATTCAACAAGTGGTTTTCTTTTCCTTAAAAATAAAAAACGCATGCGCCTCAGATTATTTCCTTCCGATTATAATTAAAAAAAATAAACGTTGTAAGTGCATAACTAGTACAAAAGTTATTAAAGTTTTCAATTTCTGTTAAAGATTTACAGATGAAGAATTGCATTTGATCATGCAATTGATTGCTACAAAACCTGCACCTACTCCAGCTGGAATTCGTTTTGTTTCACTTGGGCTCTGTATGTTAATTGCCTGTCCATCATTAATACTTAATTCACAGTTAGAATCAAAAGCAATAGAATGGATGCAATGGTTAGTAAAAGAGGAAGCATATTTCGAAAGTAAATCTGGTGTTTCAGCGTCATTTGGTGAAATGCTACTTTTAATGGCAATTCACTTTCATAGTAATCAAATATCTGCCATTGCAGAATTAGTATGCTCAACACTTGTTATGAAAATCCCAATAAGACAAAATAATACAACCAGAATGAAACAAATATTTACACAGGATTTATTTACTGAACAAACTGTTGCAGCTCATGCTGTAAAAGTTCCTGTAACATTAAACTTAAATGCAAATATCCCAGGTTATTTACCTGTACACTGTATACACCAGTTATTAAAATCACGAGCATTTTCAAAACATAAAGTTACAATTAAATCATGGATTTTAAAACAAATAACAAATTGCACAATACCATTGCATCCAGTGATGCCGGCTTTGATAGAGGTGTATGTGAATTCGTTGATTATGCCACATTCACAAAATACAACATTACCAAGTGTTGGCAATCCTGCAGGAGTAGCTGCTGCCGCAGCCGCTGCAGCGGCTGCTGCTGCTACTTCTGGAACGACAAAAACAAGTAATGCTGAACACCTACACAAACCATTATCAGAAAATGAAATTCTAAGAGTTTTCCGGAATTCAGTTGTCGGAATACATTTAGATTCAAGAAAGCGTATATATTCAATTGATTCATTGCATGATTCGAGTATGACTGACGTCGCTTTAGCTGCAACAAGTATTGACATAAAAAATGAACCAGGAAACGCGCAAACAACAGGGAATGTCGGAACACCTCATGAGCATAGTGAAAATACGGGAACTGAAACCATATCTAGTATCACATCACAATTGCTAATATTATATTACTTAGTTTTATATGAAGATGTTAGATTGGCTAACATGCCAAACATTATTATGAATGGTAGAAAAGTAAAGGCATATTCGACGGAATTTTTATCAGGTTTTAAATTGATTTTTTTAATAATTCAAAAATCTTAAATATTTTTTTTTTATTTTTTAGAGTTACCTATTAAATATTTACTTCAACAAGCTCAAAAGCATCAACACGAATATGCAGGTCTATTTCATCCTCTGTTACGACTTCTGATTACACATTTTCCTCATTTAAGTTTAGTCGATGATTGGATCGAAGAAGATAGTGTATTAATTTCTTTAGCAAATGTATCCAAATTTTCTAAGATACACGAACAGCAATTAGCGGAAGCATTTGATGAAATGCATCTATGTCCTTCAAAAATTATTAAATTATTACGATTAATGTTGAGAAAACCACCAACAGATATTTGGGGATTAGCCCAAACATTTGTGGCAAATATTAAAAAAGTTTTAGAAATTCAAGTACCACGTTTGATACAAGAACTTTATAGAAGGGTGTGGATGCGTCTAAATACAGTATTACCCCGCCGCTTATGGACGATGACCATAAATGCTTTGATGCCTGCCGACGCAATTTTTTCCAAGTTTTCTTTGACCCATGAAAATTTATTACTTGATCCGTTACACATTCTAAGATGTGATGAACGCGTATTCCGCTGTCCAGATGCTCTTATAATTGTATTACGTATTTTACAAGCAAGTTTGGCAGCTTCAAAAAGTCAATTAACACGTCATACGCAAGATAAACCGATTTTAGATAAAAACGGTCAATTACAAAATGAAATTGAACGTGACGAATTAAAAACGGCATTAGTGGCATGTCAAGAAAGTGCTGCAGTCCAAATTTTATTAGAAGCTTGTTTAGAAAGCGATGATGATAAAATGAGACCGGGACGCGAGTGGGCATTGAGAGAAATTCGCGGCATTGTGTGCTCATATATTCATCAAGTATTTATTTCTGAACCATCACTTGCTAAATTAGTACATTTTCAAACATATCCAAGACAACTTTTAAGTACTACAGTACGTGGAATACCATCAATGCATATTTGTTTAGATTTTTTAATAGAAATTTTAGCAACACCAGAAATGGAAAAACAAATTTTTATAATAGATTTGACTTCACATTTATCATTACAATATGCATTACCAAAAAGTTTAGGTATTGCTAAATTTTGTATAAATACCCTTTCAACATTATTAGGTTTATTAACATCAGATGCTAGAATTGAAATGTTTCGTACAACATTACCGTGTATAATTAGATTTGCTGAGGCTTTTCCATTAATTTTGGACGATTGTGTTACATTTTTAGTACAGCTTGGTCGTATAGCTCATTCACAAGCAACACTTCATGTTGATGCAATTACAGCTCCAGTTGTTTCACTTCAGCCTGGCTCTAAAGTAAGAACGAAAGCAACTAGAATTTTATATGCATCAAATTTATTAGAGGAAGTAAGAGAAACTTTTTCAAAAATGGTAGAAGAAGCAGTTTTAAAACCGAAAATTTATTAAATTTTTTTTTTTAATTTTTATTTTAAATAAAATTAATGTAATAAAAATTAACAAAAAAAAAAATTATATATTTTTTAAGGAAATTTGTAAATCTACTTGTATATTATAAATGTAGTTAGGATTAATGAGTTTGTAATTAAAGAAAAAGACAACTTTAAAATATAATTCTTAGTTTTTATTATGGATATATTAAAAATATATGAAAAAAGGTGCAATAATTATTTTGAAATGCATTATACTGAATATTAATGCAAAAATTTAGGAAGTTAAAATTAATTATGCTCTGTTGAATAAAGATTACCACAATCTTTAAAAGTTAGTGGCCTGCTAAGGGAACTCGCAACATCACTGATTACCAAAGTTATTTTGGAAAATATAGAATACTTTTTTTTTTTATAAAAGGATCACTAAATTTAAATATATAAAAATTAAGTACATTAATAATTTATAAAACCTATATGGTGGCTTCTGGCCAGGAAATCTAGTAAATGTTGGAGTTTAGTATTATATATTGCGAGTCGAATAGATTTCTTTTATTCATTCAAATATTCGATAGTAATATTTGAGACTCAATAAAACTTAAAATAAGTTATACAAAATTTAGAAAAAAAAATATTACTTTTAATCTTTTTTATTAACTTTTCTTTCATTTTTTTATTTTTGTTTTTCATATATATATATAACCATGTATTTTGTCTAATACAATATATTTTGTTTTTATTCCTTTTTTTTTTGTTTTGTATTGAATTATTAAAATTTTACTTTTTGTCTTGATTTAATTATGAAATATTTTTCGTTTATTTTTTCTTTATTTTAATTATTACATAATTATTATTCAAATTCTTTATTTTTTTATATTTAAACTTAATTACAAATCAACAATAACTAAAGTGGCATTTCTTTTATTTTTCATTTTACAAATTATATTTTATATAATATTTTTGTTTTTGTTCATTTTCCGATTACATACACATATTATGTTTCAAATGTTGGTTTTTTTGTTTTATTTAATTCATTTATTTTTATTATTATTTTATATAAATATATTATTCACATTAATTTAAATAATTATTATAGCTAACAACTACTGACTTTAATTGATTTATTTTTTTATTTATTTTTTATTTGCTTTATATAATTTTATTTTTTCAGAAAGCGACAATTAAAATTTTACAAATATTTTATCATTTTTGGTATTATTTTTTTCTTTTTCTAAATAATTATCAAATTTAATTTTTTTTTTTTTTTGTAAAAAGTTTTCTTTTCTATTTCATCAGCTCTCTTTGTTTTCTTGTTTTATTTAAACATTTTGCTTATTATAAATTATTTTATTAATTTTTGTTTTTCATTTTAAAACATTTCAAAATGTTTTGTGTATGTTTATTGTATTAAAGTAAATTTTGTTTTAATTCCTTCTGTTTTGTTGTTTAATTTTGCTACTGCTATTGATTTTTTTTCATAATTAATTATTCAATTTGATTAATTATTAATGATACTTAAAAAAAAAATTTTTTTTGCTTTACTTCAATTTATTTATAGAAAAATACAATGCTCCCAAAATAGAAAAATTGTGGATTTTATACTAATTTTTTTTCGATTTTAATGTTTTTTTTTTATTATTTTCCTGTTTTTTATTTATTAAACCTTTAATGCCTCTTAAATTATAAAATTGGATGGCTTTATTAAAAAATAATTTTTTATTTTTTACATTGTTTTTTTTTTTGGAGAAAATTAATCTTTTTAATATTAATTTCCTTTTATATTTGAATAATTTTTAATATATTTTATTCATTAAGAAACTACTACATTTATTTAAAAAAAAGCGTTAATTAAACAATAAATTTTATTTGATTCGTAATTCTTAGTCAATATTTTAATAACGAATAAAATCTATTTTTAAAACAATAATAAATTTGACTTAGAATTACAAAAAAAAATTATAGCTATTTTTGAATAATTAAATAACTTTTTCTTTATATTTTAATCGAATTCATTATTAAATAATCTGTACTTTCAAGTTATAAAGAAAATTTATAAATTAAAAATGACCAACAAACAAGAACTGAATTCAATAGAAAAGCAGGAGGGGGGGGGGGGGGTTGGGGATTGGAGATAGCAAAAAATTTCTTAATTTTTTTTGTTTAGCACAATTTCTCACTTTGTTATCACATAAATTACATAAGTAAATATTATATGGTAATATACTAATGATAATGAATCACATCATTAGTTTATAAAGAAAAAACGAGAATGTTATTGTATAATATAAAATTTTCAATTTTTTACAGTATGAACGAAAGCGGCAACTCTGAAATTAAATGTCAAATATTCTTACTGAAAGTACACTTAAGAAAACAAAAATTAATAATGCGTAATATTTTATAATAATGAATTTTTATCTGCAATGCATTCCAAAATAAAAGTGGCACGAAGTTTTTCTCAAGTGGTACGAAGTTTTCCAATAAGAAAACCTAACAATCATCTAACATTAAGAATGTACCAATAGCAACAGTTTATTATTGAATCAAGGATGACGACTACAAAAACAAAAAACCAGTGTAAATCGAAAATTTCAGTGCTAAATATTATTCCAATTTTATACTTATGCGAATATTAAAGAATAATTAATCAGAATGCAATTGGAACTCGAATTTTTCTGAATCAAAATTATGGTAATTATTATTTTATAAATTATTTAAATTAAAAAAAAAATACTTAATCTAAAACAATTCTATGATTTTATTTACAAAACTTTAATGTAAAATGAAAAAAAAAATTATATTGCAAAATGATTTACTCTGAATATAGTTATTTTTTTTTAAATCTTACAAAAATATTCAATAATTAAAATTGAGTAGTTAAAAAATTATGAAATTTTATCCAAAATTTACACAAGCATTTCAAATTCAAAATACAAATGTACATTTTTGAAATGTTTTTTTAAATGATTTCCGCCACAATTTTTTTAAAAAACTATTGAGAAATTCAAATATTAGTAAAATTAATGTTGGTTTCAAAAAATTTTCGGATATTAAAATTTACATATGCATCTGTAATTACAAATATAACTATTATAACTAGTAATTTTAATTTCAGTTTTTATACAAAAAAAAAACATATTTTACAACAAAATATACAATACAAACAAAAACAGAAAATTTTATTAATTAATTCGCAGATTTCAAATCTTTTGGAAAGCGAAATTATTATTTTTTTTTTGTTTTTTAAATTTTATTTTTTTCTTTTGATTTATATGTAAATATTTTAGGAAGAAATAATTTAATAGTAGCCTACAATGATTTTATAATTTAATTTTAATAATTAAGGAATTTAAATCAGCATTTTTATTAATTTTGAATTATTCTTATTTTTCTTTTTATTATTTTATGTAGTTATAATGTAGTTTATTTTCATATTTCACAGTTTTTGCCTTTTATATATTTTGGTATTCATAAAAAAAAAATACAACATATTTAATTAATTCTTAAAAAAAATTGAACTGTTCTTTTTCTAGTTCTTGACAAAAAAAAAATTTTAACAAAAAAATTTACACTTTTTTTTTAATTTATTTTCAAAATTATAAAAATTAAAAAAAAAATTATATAATAACTATAGTAGTTTACATATTTTATTAATAATTAATTTGAAGCAACGAAAAAAAAAAATCAAAAATTTAAGAAACAAAAAGACTTATTCAAAATTTTTAGTTTTTTTCTTTTTTATACAATGTTTTCTTAAAACAGATCTGGACAATCTGACCAGTCATGTTTCATTTTCCTTTCCCAATATGTTCCCTTAAATACATGTATAAGATTATCGGTACCTTCTTCTTTTTCTTTTTTAAACCAAACTGGTTCATAAGGAGGATATGGTCGACCTTGTGCTGCGGCTGCTTCTGCTTCAGCCTCTCTTGCTCTTCTTTTCGCTCGTTGCTTTTCTTCTAACCTAAAAAAACAACATAAATTAAACAAAATCAAAAACAGAAAAATAGCAAAAAAATCTTGAACAATATCGCAAAAAATAGCAATAAATTTTTAGATTACTTTACCTTACTTTCTCCGTATTACTTTCATCCCATCTACCATCTTCCATAAGTCTTTGATCAGGTCTTAATCTAGAATCCGTTGGAGCAACATTTTCTTCGGGTTCATTTAATTGGCTGGCCAAAACCGTAAAATTATAATATCTGTACGAAAAAAAAGAAAAAAACAAATTAATTTCAAATTATTTAAAAATCAACAACAAAAAAAAAAAGAGACTTCTCATTATCTTACTTATCACTTTCTGGATCAGGTAATTTCCTTGTCCAAATTGTTTTATAATTTCCTGTTTTATAAACTGGATTATCTTGAGTTCCTGATGTTGATATGACTGGAGCTATTTCAATTTTATTATCCCATGCACCATTAATAACCCATTTAACTTCACCGGAACTATTCATAACAACACCTTTGACACGCCTTTGAGTATCTCTAGTAAAATATGAATATGGTATATATTTAAGATGGCATTGTATTCCTCTTGAATTGTTATTCCCAATAATTTCCATATCACCAGTATGATCTACCCATAATTTACCAACAATAATATTATGAACAGTTGTTGTAACCTTAAAAATATAAAATTATATTATAATTAATAATGAAAAAAACAAAAATTAATTTAAATATACCTTTCGCCATGTATAACGATTACCACTAGCTGAAAATTCAACATGAGCATTTCCTAATGGAACAATTTGTAAATATTTTCCACGAAATTTACTAGTCATTGTAAATTCTTGCCAACATGTCCAACCTCTACCCTCACAATGTATTGCTGCCATCGGTGGATGATGTGATACTTGTTCTGATATATACCTCCAACCATGATCATCAGTGCGATCGCATTCATATGTTTCACCTAATAATGGATTAAATGGTTTTCCTGTGCGATTTGCTGTCGTTGAATAACTTGAAATTGTAAATGCTGCTACATATGCTAATTGTTCACATGGATCTGTGCATTTTGCTGCTATATCAAGTAAATCAGAATATTCATAATCTTCCGCTAATCTAAAATAAATAAATTTTAAAATTTCATATAAATATTAATATAAATTAATTTTAAATCGAAAAATTAATTATATACCTTTGTAACATTGATAAAGGTTCGTTGAAATTAACTGGCATTGGAATTTTCGATAATTCTTTACCAATACAATTTTTCATTATTGACCATAAATTTAATGGATAGTTTGGTTTATCAGGTACACGTGTTCGACGTATTCTAGCCGGTCTTATTGATTGAATACTATTATGACCAAATGTTCCCGACGGTAAATTATTAACCCGATCTAAAACGTCTTTACTATTCGACATATCTTCCTCTCGTGATACAACTAATACCTAAAATAAATTTCATGTAAAACAAAATTAATTATAATAGCAATTTTATGGTTATTAAAAAAATTAAGTTAAAGTTAATTATTGGTTAATATTTCTGTAAACCCCCAAACTTAAAAAATTTTTTTAATTATTCGTTAATTAAAAATAATTTAAAAAATTAAAAGAAAAAGGAAATTAATGTTTAAAGTACTCAAAATTTATGATTTTCCATTTAAGTATTTCGGGTTGAATAAAAACTCACACTTACATATTTTTACCTTTTATAATCACAGAACCTCTTACAAACATAAACCTGTGTGTACAATCCTCAGAAACATTTTCCCTTTCAAATCGCGACATTGGTCACCTATTGTCGAATATTATACATAAAGACAACCCTAAGTAACTATCAAATTATTGACAATGAAATAAAAAAATTGATTTATTTTAGGTAAAAATTGTGTGTTAAGGTTTTCAACTCTGGGTAAACTGGACAAAATTATACAAAATTCTTAAGCTCGTTTGTTCAATTTTGAATTTGCTTAACACTAGTCTACCTTATCAGCTTAGTTAATTTAATTAGAAGGAAAGAAAAGTAAAATAAAAATAAAATATAAACTTCTATTTTAGGACCTAATGTTAAAAATAATTAATATCAATATACACTTAAAGATGAAGAACCAAAAAATAAAAAATAAAGGGAATATAAAAGAAATTTGCGATACAAATTCTTGGTTCTACAAAATTACAGTAAAACCTCGCTTTCAAAAAATAATTTTCGAACGAAGAAACGGAGAAAATCATGTCAAAAAGAAAAATTCATTCTCCAAAACATTTACTTGCAGTTCCATGTACCCGTTCTAGATGATTGGAACACAAGATTTTTATATTATGTATACAAATCCTGAAAATTTATTTATGCTTCTTAATAAATTGAATTCACAAAATTCTAATGTAAATGTGAGATATCTTAGCCGGTTTCTGAAGAGTTCGAACTGGTTCAAATGAGGAACGGAAAAGGAGAGATCCGCTAGTACATCAACGAGCCTAAAATGACCTAGATGTACCCTTCCGGGGACCTCATCAACCTTACCTAATCCACTTTTGTAATAAAATTTAACTTTAATTCAATATAAGAAAATTCGACTGTAACTTATAAAGAGAGAGCAAGAGATAGAGAGAAAGAAGCTCATAAAATTAACCCTTATGCATAACGATGATTTTTTCTCCTAGATATTCTGATAAAAAAAAAAGAAAATAGAATTATCCTTGAAAAAAAAATTTTTCTTTTTTTTTTTCTTAAGTAGATTTTGAAGGAATTATTTTTATACTTTTAAGATGTACGATAACATCTAAATAGAAGGTAAAAAAAAATTAATATTAATAAATAAATAAAAAACAAAATTAAAATACTTTTACAAGTTTAGAGCTCCCCCAATGCATGTTATGTACCTATGTACATAATATAAGATTTTTTATTCGATCATTTTATAGAAGACGAACTAAAATAAAATTTTACACTACCTACACATCAAAAATATTTCTACTCGTTTACACTGCAATTGAATGAAATTTTAACAACTTTTTTTTGTATGACGACATTTCTTTCGTCATAAGCTCTAAAGAAATTTTAATATTTAAATATACTTATTTGGATACAAAGTCATCTACTCGAATGACTATTCCTCCCAAATACTTTTTGACAGATTCAATGCAAAAAAAACTGTTGCAACAGTGTTATACAAAATTTCCATTTAAAGTGCAAAGTGCATTGAAACTCTGGAGGTAATTATGGGATTATATATTTAGCAAAAGCCATTATTTTGATATTTAAGATTTAAATATGTCAAAAAATTATTTTATTATCGATTTTTCATAAATTGTGAAAAAGCAAACTAAATATATTTTTGGCATAAAAACTTCATTTTTAACTAAATCCTACCTATTTTAAAAATAAAAAACATACACGACCTTTGTATTCATCTTTCTAACTACAATAATATTACAATAAACTTACATAAGAACTTTTGTTATAACAAGCATCAAGAAGAAAAAGTTTTGTAATAAAATCATGTATTCAACATGTTTTTTGTCACCTGTAAAATAAATGTATACAATAATCTAGTTAGAATATTCCTCACCCACCTCTCCCCCCTCCCTCCCATTCTAAAATTTAACTTTTGTTGAAACAATAATTTATAACAGTCAGACTTTTTGCCTAATATACCTGTTTCATACATTTTGATATGTTTACATTGGGGTGAAAAAGGTAAATTGTGAAAGAATAAGAATAAAAAAGTTATGATAAAAATTTTTGTTACCGATAACATATTACAAGAAATATAATAATACAACAAAAACAAAAATACGCGAATACAAAGAACATACTCTCAAATTCATAACACAACACAAACACACAACAACAAAAAAATATTAAAAAAGTTTTTAATAATTTTTTTTTGAATGAAAAGTAAAACGTTTCATATCCACCTTTTCTTTTTCAGGTATATTTTACCCACGGGTTAATATAGCAGCCCATCACAACAAAAAAAAAAAAACCCCACCAATTCAATAAATAAATAAATGAGTGGGAAATGAGGAGAACCTTTTAAATTTTATAGAGACATAGAAGTTTTATATACAATAAAAGGAACATCAATGTGTGTAGAGTATATACAGAGAGAAGAGGAACGACGACGAGAGCTCTAATTTTCAAAGGAAATATTTAATATTTACTCATAAAATAAAAATTTCTACGCTTTTATAGCTCTCATTTAGACCAACCTATATTTTTATACTCGTTAATATGTTGTAACGTTTAAGAAAATAAAAATTAAAAAATTACAACATTATAATAAAAAGTATATATTGGACTATGTAAGTATGTAAATTAAGTATATGTATGTATAGTCATATAATCTATTAAATATGCTTATGGTGGAATATTTTCTCAATGTACGTAAAAAGGAAATTTTTTCCTAAAAAAAAAAAACAAACATGCCAACACGACACGCGATATTTATTTATTGCAAAAACAGAATGTATACACACATACACATTTTTGAGAATTTAAATACTCTTTACCTCACATACGCCTATACGCAAAATAAACTATATAGATCTTAAATATGCTAATTTAAAGGATTAAAATGAAGAAAATTCCGCTGTTTTTTCTCGTATTTCATACAAAGGATAAGAAAAAAATTTTGTTTTTTTTTTGAAGAAATATGAGAAAACCTTAAATCCTCATCATTTCTTTTGCCATTTTCTTAAATTTTTAATTTTAAATTGTTAAATAATAATTTTAATAATAAAATAGAAGTAACGAAGCAAGTATCTAATTGATATTTGATTTTAAAAGTAAATTTGGAATAAAAAACCGATTTAAAGTAAGATTGCTTTCATAATGTTTAACTAAACTCAAAATTTAAAAAAAAGATAAAAATAAAAATATTTGTGTTTGAATAATTTGAAACAGCAAATATTGAATAGAGCAAAACATCAATCACTTTATATCAATGTGACAATGCCCTTCTTAATTTGAAATTGCATGACGTGCCATTAACGTTTTCCGATGATGAGAAAGCAATTGCTCCTGCCTACAAAATCTTATAAACACCGATATGGGAACAATTTATAAAATTTATTGAATATCTAAACATAAATTAACAATCAATGCTAACTAAACTATACACATACTATTTCAGGTCAAACCTTCCAGTAATCAGGCAATCGGGTACAATGGTATTAAAATTTAGAAAGTTAAAGTGTACAAATATCTCGGTATTGTTATCGACAGTGGTTTACCCTAGAATAAAAAATATAAAATAACAAATGTAAAAGGCGAAAAAATAGCATGGATTTCCAAAATTATTAACAAAAGAGTACTGCTCTGCATAAAAGTGCCACTTCAACAATATGTTTCATGCTTTGACAACATATTCAATTCAAATGTAATCCTGTATGCAATCAATAATTTACACAAAAATCACAAACAATAATGACACAATAATGTCATGAAAATAGAGCTGTTAACAAAATGTTACAGACAACTAAAATGGCAACTTGAAATATTAAAATTTAAAAATCAATAAATTTTTAATGTAATAACAATGGCCTAACATATTGCCTGTTTTTACCATATAATAAATTTATAAAGATTCAATTAACAACAAAGAAAAATGAATCCATTAAAAATTTATCGAAATCCTGTGTAAAATCACATAAAAACTTGTTGAAAACCAGTATGTAGAAACATCATTAATTATTTAATGAACAAGGTCACTAAAATAAACACAAATCTCATATATTGTAAAATTTAAATTCGATCCATCAATAAATATTTCAAATGGATTATCCTTAATCAATTCTTGTTGCTTTTGATATATTTTTGGTAGAAATTTTTTTGTTTTTGGGTTTGCAAATTTTTTTATTTATTTAACCTTCAGCTATGTGTTGAATGTAGGTGAATGCTAAAATAGAAAATTATTTTTTTTTTATTTTAAAAATAAAGTTTCGACAAATTTCTAAAGTTATCGAATATCATAGATAATTTATGTCTTTTAGACAAGCTTAAGTTTTCACATTAAATATAAGAAAAGATTTTACCATACTGAAAAGTACATTAAAAATATTGACGTAATGCAACATAACCTAAAAAGAAAAGTCAAAATTTATTATTCTAAAAAAAGTCAAAGTGTTAAATCAAAGTCAAAATTATAGTTTATTTGTTGTGGTGAATTCCTTTTAATAACATCATTATTCGAAAATTCTTAGACGAAAAACGTTTATTGAGGTCGAAATTAATTAAAGTTCGTGAACATAATTCAATACCAAAATTACTAACCAAAAATTCTACTACACTAGAGACCTCTGCCACTAAGTTTCCTAACATTCGAATTACAGTACTGTTATCACAACACAATTAGGCGATATGGTGAATAATACACAACAATTCAGTATATAAGTACCACTTGCTGAATAGTTTTGCGATACGACCTTACCGATATATTCGATAGTAACATTTAAGTACAATAATAATACAAAAGACTCATAGATACGAAAAAAATAATCTGAATTTTATACGTATACGATATACCCAAATTTCTGAGATTTGTCGTTAAATAGTATGTTTGACCTATTGTTTGAAATATATTAGATTGTTGATTCCTAATATTATATCTGTAAATAACATTATTTTCCTTTAATAAAACCATGTCAAAAGATATAAAAAGCCTCTCATTCTTAAAAAAAAAAACAGAAAAAGTTAATAAACACATTCTAATATCCTTTTGTGCATTAAAACACACACATAAATGTACTAGAAATTTTTCGCATACATATATTTTAATGACTCTACTTTAATGACCCTGTGCTATTTAATGACCCTATTTTATTTAATGACTCTTAAAGTAATACATAAAAAGAGAACAATTTTTATATTTAATATAAGTAGTACACTCTTAAAAGTAGAATGTATTTTTAGTACATGATCGTATATTGAATAAAACAATCTTGTAAAATGGTTAAAACAAGATTTGTTTGTAATTTTATGAATTAACACAGAACCACAACCAAAAAAAGAGAAAAAAAAATAAAAATAATTGAAAATAATAACAGTTAACACCCCGTCACACTCTATAAGTTAATACTCTATGAACTATGGGGGATTACGGATCAGAAGCATAAATTTAAAACATTTAGTTAGAAAACTGTAAGCTTAACAGATAGTGGTTGTTCATAAAATAAGAAAAATACTATTACCCCTACAATTATGCAATCATGTTAAAAAATGAGAACAAAACACACTGAAATAAGCTTGTCACATTTAACTAAACTTGTGTTACAATGACCACACTAAAACTGAAAATGTGAAATAAGATTATTACAACCATCTCAAACAACATGTAAAATAAAATAAAATTATTGAAAAATTGCAAGTGGCATCCTTATAATGCATAGGGGTTAAATTTAAGAGTTAAATTATAGGTCATTTATTTTCAACCCCTCCTTACAGAGAAAAAAAAAATTTGGAGAAGGTTACAAAACTTTTTTTTTTTGTTTCCCATCAAAAAAAAACATTCTTTTTTATTATTCTGTCGTTTTAGGGCTTTTATTAAAGTGAAAAAATTTGAAGCAAAAAGCATTCTTATTCTTCTCATATATTCGTTACATAACTATCATATCGTAATAATAACAGTCAGTTTTGTAATAACTTTTTCTTTTTATTTATTTTGCATACATGAATACAACAACAGAACAAAAGAGATGGGAAAGAGCCAAATAGGAAAGAGAATGTGACAAGAAAGGAGCAAAATGTTATGTTGATTTCATATGAATAACATGAAAACTTAAAATATAAAGAAAAGAGAGAACAAAGAGAGGAGCAAGAGGAGAAATGAAGCATAAAAGAAATTTGGTATCTAAAAATAAAATTTATCTAGGTTGAATTGAAAGGTTTTTTTTCTCTTTTCTCTCTACGATAAACGCATCATCAGCAAACAACAAAGAAAATAAAGTTAAAACGGCGGAAAATACAACAGGTAAAAAAAATAATGGAAATAATGTGTAAAAAATTTTTATATTTTAATTTCAAAAAAATTAAATTTGTGAGAAATTTATTAATTAATAAAAATTAAAATGTATTTATTACATAACCGAAGTGAAGGTACTCTCAGAAAAGAAGTCTTGAAAATAATTTTATCGTGCCAATCGTAATTATACTAAAACAAATTTCTGATTTTACAAAAATTATGGACGCCTGCCTAAATAAAGACTGAATATCAAATTTTCTAATTCAGCTATTCAGCAATATAATTTTAATTGCTGTATAAATAAAACCATGTCAGATTTATATTCCAAGATTTCAATAATCAACAGAAGATGCAATTTCAAAACTCAAAAAATGCAATAATACTGCATTGATACACAATTCAGCAACTGCAATTCATAAGCTGAATTCAATAATTGCAACTCTTACAGCAAAATTGTGCATTAACATTGCATAACTGCAAATCTGAGGGCAGCGATTTTAGAACATTACATTATATTGAAATTAAAATAAAAAACAACTTTAATCAAATAATAATTGAAAAAATAATTATAAAATTAAAACTTAAAATAACAAAAGAAAAACATAAAAATAAAATAAATAAAAATTTCTTTGAATATTTACCCGCGAATTTACCTGCTTCGTTTCACTTTTTTCTTCACCTTCTGATGAGCTACCACCGTCTCTAGAACGTCGTCTTGTTTGAAATTTTAATATAAATGAATTTTCATCTGGTGTTTCGGCTTTTAGATTTTCTTCTTGAGCGTCATAAAATTCATTATCTTCATCATCTGATGTTGTATTTGCAGTATCTACAAGCAACAAACATCAATATTGTTTGAATTATTTTCTTTAAGAATTTGATTTTATATTTTTAAGTTGAGAATATTTTTTTATTTTAATTTTTGAATATATTTGCTTTTTTTTATTCAATTTTATTGTTATATATTATATATCAATATTTACATGAAATTTATGCACTAATTTATTTTTTTAGGAAAGCATGTTAAGTTCGGTATTGTAGCGATACGGATATAATTTTATGGATACTGGAGAATGTTGTTTTTGGAGACTTTTTGGAATATTTTCGGAGACTTTTTTTTAAATTTGGACTCACTTTTAAATTTAAGTTTTCAAATAATTAAATTAATAATTTTAAGTAATTTTAATTGTTTTGCATTAAAATATTGTACGAAATTGTTGTATTACTATTACTTTCACTATATTTAACATTTTAATATGAATTTGAATTATGTATGTGTGTGTATATAATGAAAAATTCGTTGCATTTTAATGTAATCGAAATGTATTCTGGTATACTGTTATATATGTATTTTTTTTTTTAATTGTACAAAATAATTTTATTTTAGCGTTGATTTTAATAATGTAAGTACAGCTATAATATTTTTGTATTGTTAATTATATAATAATGCATATGTTATGTATGTAGAGTTTTGAATACACTGCGCGGAAAAAAATTTATATAACATTTGAAATGAAAAATTCACTTCTGTTATATACTATATACTTGCTTTTTTTTTGAATTTATATACAATATTATAAAATGTATGTATTGCTCGTCGTTTTTAATAATACAAAATTGTTATATGTATGTTAGATTTATCAAATAATAAGATATATAATATTATACAAATATTATTTATTAAATAAAATCATTAAGAATGTGGTGTAATTTTAATTTCGTATAGTTGATTATTCAGTTAATTCGTTATATTTCATTAAGAAATTTTTGTTCAGTTGTTCTTTTTGTATTTTTTAATTATTTTAGTTTATAAATTATTATTTTTATTAATACATACTATTAAATTGTTTTATATTATTTTCTATTTACAAATACAATAATTGACATTTTATTCCCAAAATACTTATTTATATATATATAGCAGATAAAATATATACATACATATAAATGTTCGTTTAATTTTTTCAAAAAAAAAAAAGAGACTTTTATATATTATAAGACTTTGTTTCATATATTTAATTTAATATATAATAAGTTTATATAATACTTTTGTTTCATTTCAATATTTATAATTTTAGTTTTTTTTGCTGTTATTTTGCATATGGTGTAATTGCTAATTATTATAAAAAATTATAATTATTTAAATTATGTATAACAATATAATTCGTTTTTGTATGTAACATACTAGATAACATTCTTTATAAATAATTTTTAAGAATAAATTAAGTATTTATAGTAAAGAAATATTAATCGGTACTTAGAAGTACCGTAAATCTACTTGTAAATTCTAACGAAGTCGTAACAAAGGTAATACAATAAGTGAAATTGTAAGAATAAATAATAGGTTTAACACTAATTGATTAATATAGTGATAAGAATATTAATACTAGAATTGCCAATATTGTTATTGTAAATTTATTACTGCGGGAAACATTAGAATTAGGGGATTTAATTTTAAGTAGCAAATAAATTCAAGAAAATATTTCAAGAAATTTTTAAGAATAATTGTTACAAACTGTAATTTTAACTGCGTTTTGATAATTTAAGAGGTTAATTAATACCCTTTAATGGGCAGTTCAGTATTAAATTCTACAATTACTTCTTGACAAATAAAATTAAAATGTAATTACATTACTCAATTCTCTTTTAATTTTGAAATTTTCACAAAATCAGGATTAATTTCACATTATTGATGAATATTTCATAGTACTCATAATGTCTTATGCATATTTTTTTAGCCTATTTCGTATTTTTAGTAGATTTCGACAAAGTTTAAGCTTTATAATTTATTTTAATTGATGTAATCATACAAAAACGAATTCCAAAAATTTTCATAATTTTCTGTTTATGTGTAAAAGTATTTTTGAAAATGCTTTTGTAATAAATTTTCGCATTTTCAAAAATACCTGTTTTAAGTAGTCCAAGTAGTATTCAATTGTCAAATTTACTGCAAATTTACTGCATATAAAATACCCTAATTTTCTTTTCACATTTTTAATTTATTTACTTACTTTATTACGAATATATAAAAATATTTTATATATATTAAATTATAATTTATATTTTGTAAAAAAAAATGTAAGCTTATAGAAATATTTTTTTTTGTAAATCCTTGTTAATTTTTTTTTTAATTTTTTTAAAAATAAGCAATAAGCAATATTATGAAATATAATTTGTATATTGTGAATATTTTTATGATTCACTATTTTTGTATATTATATTATATATTATGTATATATATAATATTAATATCCTTTTTGTAAGGACATAAAATATTCTATTATGTCTGTATATATGCACTTTTAAATGTGCATAACAATAAAAGATTTAGTTCTCCTAGTTTTCAATAATTTTTCGTTTTTTTATTTTTTATAAGCATTTATACACAAATTTATATATACATACAATGTTTGTATACTATGTATAGTCTATAATAATTATTAATAATTATGTATGCACAATTTTACACAATAAAAAAAAAAATGAAAATTATGTATTTTTCTCTCTCTTTTTGTATAGCGTAGAATAAGAAAACAAAAAATTGCCTTACAATTTTCACTTATTTGTAATAAGTTTTTTGATATAAGATTTATAATTATAAGGATATATATACAAATTATGCATATATATATATAGAATTTCTTGTATGAAAAATTGTTATATTAATACTTCTCTAGTTGAACATAAATTATTTTATATTAAGTATATTGTATATTTTGTAGCTGTTAATTGTTGTTACTTATATTTGTTGCAATTTACTTTTATTATTACTATTAAATATTGTTATAAAATTTTTATTTTTCTCAATATTTGAATACGTTTATTATGTACATTTAATATTTTAAGTAAATATTTCTTTTATATACATATACTGTTATACTGACACATATACGTTGTTATATTAATTCATTATTCCTCATTTAATTTAATTTTAATATATAAGCTTTTTCTAAATGTACTTTTATATATTGTTACTTTAAATATAAGTATTAATGTAGACTAATTTTTTTGATTTATAAATTTTATATAAAATAAATATGCACTTAATTTATTTATATATACTATACACATACTATATATGTATTGCACACCAAAAAACTAAAAACATAGAAAATAACTTGTGTACAAAAAGCAATTTAAGAAAAATATAAGTTTATTTTATATTTTTATAATAAAACAAAAAACCAATAAAATTTATATATATATATATATATAAATTATATATATATAATTAATGTTTATATTAATAATATATATTATTAATATAGAAAAAAGATTGTATAGAATTCTGTGGGCTTGTTTTTTTTTTTTTTATATAACACTATTTAAAAATTTTCTTTTGAAGCTCTATATATTAAAAAAACACTATTTAATATATGTATAACAAATTTATATAGGTATAATATTATTTTTGTTGTATATAATATGCGTGTATAGAGAGAATGCAATTTATAATATACTATTCTTTCTTTTCTTTTTTTCTTATTTATTTATATATTTTTTATATAGTTAGCTATATACACAATAATAACATTAATGTATAGAATATTTTATAGGTATATATAGTAAATAATATGCATGAATCTACCATAAATATGTTTTCACTAAATTTAAAAGCGTATATATTATGTATTAGATGTATTGTATATATTATACTATGTGTGTATAATTATGTATAATATAAGAATTTTAAATTTTTATTTAATATTTGTTGCATATTCATATACGAAAGTTAATATGAAGAAATGCTGCTCTCTTGTTTTTCAAAATTATTTTCAAATTAAGTGAAGGATTTCAAAATAAAAATCGAAAATTGTTAATTTAAATTTTTTTTTTTTTAATTTTTTTATATTTTCACTTTGAATAAATTAACTTCATTAATTTCTTTTAATTTTTTTTTTTAAATTTAAAAATTTTTCTAAAATTATTTGGGTTTTTGGGGAAAATATTATTGGTGTATTAAATGGTATGTATGTATATGTGCTTGTATAATTATTTTTGATTAAAATTTCAATTAAATTCACGGAATCCACGTCTTCTTTTTTTTCGCTTTAACAACTGAAGTTGAAAATAATTTTCAATATTTGATAAAAAAATTTTCACATTTTAAAAGAAATGCTAGGAGAATTTCCACGAATTTTCAATATTTTCCCGAAAAAATAAGGATAAAAATAGTCGTACAAAAATTTTTCAAAATCAGAGCAAATAACAAAAAAAAAAAACTATACGCAGAAGAACCAGAAAAAAAATTAGATTTTATTTTTATTTTTGATTTTCAAAATTCCCTAAAATTTTCACGTTTATTGATTTATTTTTTTAAACTCTCGTTTGTTGTTGTCTTTCACTCTTATTTTTTTTTTTTTTTGATTAAATTTTCACATTGTTTATTGTTTTTTTTTTTATTTTTTTTTATCAGATTTATTAAGGGTTTTTTATTTCTTTCCTTTAAAATTTTAAAGTTTTTTTGTTTGCTTTTTTTTTTGTTTTTTTTTTTTTGTGTATGAATGGTTAAAAAACTTAAATTGAATATAAAGAATTAAAATGAAAAATGCTTGATTTTTTAATGGTTATGTGATGAATGTGGAATAAACTAGACTAAAAATATTTTTTGGTTTAACTGAAATTGAAATATTTCTGTCAGGATTTTTTCTATACACCATAGTAGAAAAAAGGAGGAAAAAACAAAATATTTTATATTAATTTTCTTCTCTCTTCTTTTCAATTCTTATTTCAGTTCAGTTATTTTATTACTAGATAAACACTCTCTCTCTCTCCTTTTTGCTTGTTCTCTGAGAGAACCTGCCATGTCAATGATTTTTTCATTTAACA